AGTAGAACTTCCACACCCCAAACTCAGGGAGCCCTATAACCTTAAGGAGGGAGCATTTGCTACACAAAAACACTATCCACAGCCAGGGATGATGTAGACACAAGAATAAATAAGGAGAAAGGGGACCCTAGAATTCATGTCCCTTACGCCTCACAGCGACTAAGCCTGGGAAGCTGGTTGGTCTAGCATCTACGCAGAATATGTACACCTTGTTGGGAGAGATGGGGGCAGCCCAGGAAAGCTCCTCAGCAGGCTGAAGAGGGAGCAAGATGGGCTGAGGGGAGCTTGGGGTTCATGCTGCGGTAGGAAGAGGGAAGCTCCAGTCCAGTGTGCTGCAGGGTGGGAAAGCAACAACACGGACACTGTCCCACCCTCAACCCCCCACTGGCACAGGGTCAGACAATCTGGGTCAAAGAAATGGTGGGGCCCTTGTGATCATCAAAGCGATCCATGGTCTTGAGACTGAGGATCATGTGCAGGCCGTAGGTGAAGATGAAGAGCATGAACAGGGAGGTCAGCAGCCCCATCCAGATGCCGGGGGAGAAGAAGCTGGCACAGTCACTGGCATAGGAGAACTGCTCCCCCATCACGTTGAAAGCCTGGATCTGGCAGACACACAGACACGGGTCAGAAAGGACCGTTGGGAGGCCCAGCAAGGACTGGGACAAGGGCAGCGCAGGGACAGGACTCCCAAGCCCAAGCCTCTCTTCGTTTCTCAAACACCAGCCTGGGCTCCCCCACCTGAAGCTGGGCCACCCCTGCGCCATACCTGGAAGTCCTGAAGCATCATCTGCCAGGGGGAGGGCTGCGTGCGGGCCACGAGGAGACTGCCCTTCTTGCTCAGGCTGCTGACATACTCGCAGTGGAAGGAGTAGATGCTGGGCCCTGTGACCTGGGAAGCATTGAAGTAGGCAACGGAGCCATTGCTGTGGACTTCGAGGCGCTCCATGGTAAACCAGTGCCGGGCGGACACTGGGTAGAGGCGGTTGGCCAGAATGAACCTGGGGAAGGTGGCAGGGATGTCAGGTGAGCTGGGGAGGCTGGGGCCACACCAGCCTCCCCACACCTCAACCACCCCAGGACTCACTTGAATGTCACTGTGGTACCAAAGAGTCGTTCATAGGTCAGTGAGAGCCTGTGGAGGCAGAGAAAGAGGTGCACCATGAGGCTCTGGGAGGGCCTTTGGCATCTTAGAGGAACAAGTTCCTCAGCTCTGCTCTTACCTAAGCTGCCTTGGGTCCTTGCAGCCACCTGAAGAAGCAGTGACCCCACTTGACAGATAGGAAAACTGAGGATCCAGTCACATTGCAAGCCCAGAACAGAGCTGGAAGCCAGGACCCAGGTTCCCCTTGCCACCAGCATGGGGGTCCTTCCTCTGGTTCCCCTGAGCTCACTACCTCTCCTTTTACTCCCTCTTAGGGTCACTAAGGTGCCTGGGCTGGGCTTTGGGGGTGAGAGCAAACAGAAGGGCATGGTTGCCCCATAAATGCCTCAGGTAGCTGGCCTGGCATTTGCCCACACAAAGTCCCAGAAGTTTTGCTCAAGGGGGAGGTGTTAACAACCAAGGTCCCAACCAAAGACTCACAAGCATGGGGAGGCAGAAGTCTGAGCAACTCCCCTCCAACAGCACCCCCCGCCATGACACCTCCTACATCCTCACACTGCCCAGACCCCAACCAGACCATGGCCATCCCCACCCCAACACACAGACCTGACCCTGGCTCCCTGCCCCACCTGCGACTCACAGTGGTGGGAAGGTCACCTGTGGTGGCACAGTCCTCCCCAGCCTAGTGCCCTTGCCTGGCAAAGGAGTCATTCCAGAAGGAGCCAGTCAGGTTGAGCTCCTGCACCCCAAAGGTGAGGGGAGTCAGGTCCTCCCACTGGTCCTTGTACGCCACAGAGAAGTTTTGGGCCCAGAACAGGATCCGGGGAGCAGTGTCATTGTAACTCACAGGAGGATGGATCACAGGTGATATTGGCTGTTTTTGTAACAGCTGGCGACCTAGCCCTTCAGCCACCACCGCTACATCACGGGCCACCTGCAGAAACACCCAACCAGCCTTCTTTCAGCAGCCCTGGGAGACTGTCATACTCCAACCCAGCTGTCGTGCCCTCCCTCCTCTCCCGACAGGACACCCTGTCCACTATCTCAAAGTCCCACCAGCCAGAGGAGGCCTTTCCTCCAGAAAGCTTTCCCTGATGGCCCCTAAACCCTGATGACGTTCCTAGTCCCTCAAACTTAGGGTCATTTAGACTTAGTGTCCAAGTCTGCCACCCACAAGCCTCAGAGGACGAGATGGAAAGCTGCCCCTGGAATGGGGAGGCAGCACTTGAGTGCTCATCCTAGTCCTCCCCCAGAGTCAGCCCAGGGACAAGCCACTCCAAATAGTCACACCACAGGGGTTCTGTGCCTGATGCTTCCGCTATGCTGGGCCTCCCGGACAGCCTGCCTGTGGCATACACCCCCCACCTCCAGACAGACTCACCACACTGCCTCTCCCTGCATGCCCCAGAGCCCCTGCTGGAAGGGCACATACCCTGGAAGGGCGGACCGCTGTGAGGGCCGCTGTGTACGGGACATCTTCAGACTTGAGTGTGCTCAGGACCTGCCCAATGACCTCATCTGAGGGTCAACAAGGAGAGCAGAGAGTCAAGTCACCAGGCACCCTGTGTAAAGAAACACTCCCCACCGTCTGCTTTAGAAACCTTCTAGACCATCTGAAAGTGGTGTTATTACTTTCCACTGAGGATCCTTAGGAGCAGCTATTTCTCATCCCACCCCCATTCCTAGCCTCCCCCGTGGACAACTGTGGCTTTGGTCATCAACTTCCTAATGCCAAGCCCTACCTATGTGACACGAGAAAATACATATCAATACAGAAAACTCCACATCCACCCATGAAAGGTTTGTGACTGCCTTTCCATGGGGAATGACTGTTCTTTATTGCAAATAGGTAAGTCCCCAGAATTGTTTTTCCAAATGTCTGCAGTCTTATTAAACCCATAACTCTAGGATTCACGCTGCATGCACAGAAACTGGCTCCATAGCCTCCAGCACAGAGGGCCCCCCCTCTGCCAAGTGGGGTCTGGCTGGACAGGGTCCTCTGCTAGGTGGTCCCTGGCTGGTCCTGGGAGCCAGCATTTCCCTGCTCCACTGTCAGCTGCCCCGAGAAGCAGGAGGGCCACCCTGGGAGTGAGGAGGCTGAGGAGCTGCAGGCCAACTGTCTGTGGTCCCCGCCCAAGGGCTAGGTGAGGATGTGCATCCTCCCTGATTCTACTCACCATTGCCTGTGAGGACTTCCCTGGGTGCCATCAGACCAGAGCTATGGAAGACAAACAGAGCACCAGAGTCCTCAGGCGGCCTGGACCTGTGCTGCCTACTACCCTTCCCCTGCCCCAGCTTCTCCTCCCCACTAGCCCCACACACCAAGCCTGCACACTCTTACCTCAGTGCCCACTCCTGGAAGCCCATCTCACCCCGAGGCTTCTCAGTCACACTCAAGTCCTAGCCACCTGCTCTGTGACAAGGGCCTGGCTAGGTGAGAAAGCTCCCCACCCACAGGGCTCACATCTGCCTCATCTCTGGAGCTAGGCACCAACTCCTGAATCACAGAAGAGGCCCTCCCCACCTCTTCTGGCCACACACGGCACCTTCTAGAAGGGTTGTGAGGGGGTGGGGAGTACTGGCATATTTGGTCGAATGGTGCCACCACATGCCATAGCCCAGGGCCTTGCTGCTCTCTGGACCCCGAGGCTGGTGGCTGGGCCATGTGGGCAGTACCTGGCCGTGTAGGGCAGGCGAATGAGCAGCAGGGCGGGGAGGCTGGCGTTGAGCTTCAGCTCCCGCAGGGTGGCCAAGTCCACATGCAAGGGGCTGGCCCTGAGCTTCTCCTGCAGGTAAGTGGTCAGAGTGCTGACTGCATACCAGTCAACGGCAGGAAGCACCAGGGAGGAGGGGGCCAGGTCCAGGGCATTCTGGTGACAGGGGAGAGGCAAAAGGTGAGTTAGCCAGGGGCCAGTGGGCCTGGGCCAGCCCCCCAAACCTCTCTGGCAGGTTTCCTCTGGCAAGCCATACCCACAAAGGCTCACCAAGAAAATGGCCCACACCCCAGGCCCTGACATTCAGGCCCCAGGCCTTTCTACCCCAAAGCCAGTGTCTCTGCTAAGAGTATGAGGAGGTTTTGTTGTTGTTGTTGTTTGCGGGGGGCGGGGGGGGAGGGAGGAGGCAGCCCAGAGGAGACTCAGACCCAAGTAACCCTGATATGAGGTAAGAGTACAGTTCTTATGCTGGGAGAAGCACAGAATGTCCCCCATGGCCCCTGGCTGGGAGAGGACTCTTACCTCTAGATTAGAAAAGGCGCTGTCCTGCTTGTTTCCAAACACACCACCATATGCTGTGAAATCCTCAATGCTCAGCTAATAGGGAAACAGGGGAGACATCTGAGGAGGTTTGACAAGGAATGGGGGCCAAGGCAGGGGACAGCCACCTTCCCCGTGCATTCTCAGGGCCAGCAAAGTCTCACTGAGAGTCAGGTTCGGTATAGTGGAGCGCGACTGTGTGTTGGTGGTGGTGGGTGGGAGACTCGTCTCTTCCCTCCAGCACTGTCAAGGCAGGGTGAGAAGACATAGAAGGCAGTCATGGGGGTGGGGAGATCTGTAGGCAGCTGATTTGTGGTAACCTCAGGAGTAGGAGTCAGCTGCCTTACCCGCCCTACAGACAAGAGGAACTGGGGAGGGAACAGGGAAGCTGTGGGGAGGGGGTGGGGCAGCCAAGAGCATTTGCAGCAGGCCTCCCAGCCAGAGAAAATGGGAGTTGGCTATGTCCAGTCTGGACAGGACCGTCACCCCACTTGCTTTTGGTGGAAGGGGAGAGAGGTGAGATCTCAGAACATGCGGAGGAAGCACTGAAGTCTTTTGAGCTCTTAGGACCACAGTGGCCCTGACCCCATCCCTTTTTCTATACAACTTACAGATGTCCTTTGTCCTTTCGCTCCTACCCCCTACTCCAATCTCCAGCTTCCTCTGGCCTTTCCCAGTTAGGCCCTGAGGAGATTTTAATCAGCTTCCCTAACCTGTTTGGTATATACACTCGCCCAGTCTCCCCTCCCTTGTGGGCAGGACCTTGCTGCTGTTTGGCCGCCCAGGCTCCCCTCCCTTGTGGGCAGGACCTTGCTGCTGTTTGGCCGCCCAGGCTCCCAGTCGGAAAGCCCAGGAGTTGCTGGTGGTTCCTGTGGGCTTTCTTTAATTGAGAAATCACACCACTCCCTGCTCCACATTACCCAAGGCTTTCTTACACATTTAGAACTGCACCTGACCTTCCCCCTCATGGCCTACAAGGTCCTACTTCATTGCCTGGCCACCTGAGAACCATCTCCTACATCTCCTACCCCTTTCTCTCACTCACTGTGCTCCAGTCACACCAGGTCTTCCTTGAGCTTGCCAAGAGCACACCTCGCCCAGGGCCCTTGCATTTGCTGTTCCAGGAATGTCCTTCCCCCAACGGCTCCCTCCCTCCATTAAGATCTCTGCTCAGATATCACCTCCTCACCTCCTCACCTCCTCAGTGAGGCCTGGTCTGACCACCCTTATCTAAAACAGCATCCCAGTCACTCTGTCCCCTTAGCCTGTTTCCTTCCCTAAAGACTATAACACTGACATCATATAATATACCAACTTAGTATTTACTGGTCACCCTCATGAGAATGTCAGCTTCCTGATGGTGGGGGATTGGGTTCTTCTGCTCACTGCCGTATCCCCAACACTTCATAATACCTGGCACATAGTAGGCTTTCCATATTGGACAAATGAATGAATGGGTGAATGCCGAAAGACTGGGGGATCCTGGCTAGATGTTTTATGTGGATTATAAGAATTCCCCCTCACAGGCCGGGCGCGGTGGCTCATGCCTGTAATCCCAGCAGTTTGGGAGGCCGAGGTGGGTTGATCACGAGGTCAGGAGTTCAAGACCAGCCTGGCCAACATGGTGAAACCCTGTCTCTACTCAAAATACAAAAAAAAAATACAAAAATTAGCTGGGCGCAGTGGCAGGTGCCCTGTAATCCTAGTTACTCAGGAGGCTGAGGCAGAGAATTGCTTGAACCCAGGAGGTGGAGGTTGCATTGAGCTTACATTGCACCACTGCATTCCAGCCTGGGCAACAGAGCGAGACTCTGCCTCAAAAAAAACAAAAAAAACAAAAAAAAAGAATTCCCCCTCACAGCCCTCTGATGTAGGTGGTGTCTTCATTTTACAGATGTAGAAACTGTCATTGACAAAGATTATTTCATGCCTCCAATGGCTGGTTACATGGTGGAACTAGGACTCAGTTCCTATCTGACTATATTATTTACCACCTCCTGAAAAGACTTCAGGTCACCATCTGCCCACACAGCAACCAAGGGAGACTACAAGGGCAATGAGCCATACAGGCCACCAACAAGGGAGGGCCTAGCAGACGCTTGCTATCTTAGAATCATCTCATGGTCTGCACGCCTGCTTGGGGGCAAAGATCCTGGATGGGAGGGAAAACAGCATGCAGGTTATGAGCTCCAATTGGGAGGGAGGATTGACAGACTCAGGCTGGAACCAAAGTGGTGTCTATCAACTGTAGTGAAACATTGTATCTCGACAAACCTTACTTTCCTTGGCAGTAAAACCGAGATAATGACATCAGTATAGCAAGTGCCTACAAAGCACTAAACAGGTGATCATTTTCCAATTATCATTATTATGATCATCACAGCTAGAATTACAACTGTGCCACCCATTAGCTGTATGAGCTTGGGCAAGTCACTTAACCTCCAGCCTCAGTCTTCTCATTTATAAACGAACAGGGACAATAATCCCCACCCACCATATTGGAGTAAGTCAGATATCCAAAGTGCTTGGTAATCAGTAGGTACCTGGCCTCTGACCCGTCGCTTCCTCCAATCAAGTTGGTGCCATTTCCGAGGCTGTCGCCATGCCCACTGAAGCGTTTACTACAGGCCTTCCCATGAGACGACCCACACCTCCCTACGGTTGGGACAAGGTCACTGAAGCTTCCCTTGGGGAATGGGCGTCAGTGTCATGGGGGGAGGGGTTCCTGGCTGCCTCCCGATGACCGGGGGAGAGTGGGCTGGGGCAGGCGCACCTTGTCCTGCAGGAACAGCAGCACATTCCGGGGACCCAGCTCCAGGGCGGGATCTAAGTAGGCAGAGAGTTGCAAGTCGCTGGTGATGTGGCCTTCATGAGTGTCGGCAGGAGCCCACAAGTCCCTGGCAGGGGACAGAAGAGGTGCTGTCAGACGGGGGCGCATGTGGACTGGAGCTCTGTTGCCGGCAGATTCGCTGCGACCCCCGAGCAAAGAATAGTCCACCTCTGGGCCTCACCACCCCTCGCGTAGGACAGCGCGGGAGTCGGAGTCGGGCGAGGGCGCCTCAGCCGCCACAACGCATCCCACCCCGGCCCGCTCACCGGTCACTGGACCACAGCACCAGCGGGACCTGCTGCTCCGCCGCTGCCGCCGCCGCCGCCGCCGCCGCCAACGACAAAAACACCGGCAGCCACGGCATCCGCCAGAGCGCCTGGGCGCACCGCGGCCTCATCCGCACTCGAGCCGTCGCCGTGGCCGCCATCATAGCCTCAGCCTCCACTGCTTCAGCGGCCTCGACAGCCGCGGATCAGGTGACCGTTGCCCCCGCCTGAGCCCCGCCTCGCACCTCCATTGGCCCAAGCGCGGGCCGGCTGGCAGGGCCGCAGGTAATTGGACCAAGTGCATGCCACTCGCGGCCACTCCTTCTCACTGATTGGCTGTACGTGTCTCCAGGCACTCACACTCCGAGTGGGAAAGGGGATGGGGCCCACCTAGACCTACTAGGACGAGACAAGAGGGACAGGGAGGCTCCGCGAAACCCTGCGCGCACCCTACGCGTTCGCCCGTCCGTTTTTATTTATTTATTTATTTATTTATTTATTGTTGTTGTTGCTCTCTTCTTTTCTTTCTTTCTTTTTTTCTTTTTTCTTTCCTTTTTTTTTTTTTTTTTTTAAGAGACAGAGTCTCCCTATATTGCCCAGGCTGGTCTCGCCTACCCCCACCCCCCAGCTCAAGCGATCCTCGCACCTCAGCCTCCGGAAAAGTGGAACTACAGGCGCGCATCGCCGCACCCGGCCAATCCTTGTTTTAATCCTTTTCCTTAAAATTGCAAAAGTGGTGTCTTTTTCCTGTAGATGGACCCTCCCTGATACAGGTGACAGGAGACTGTAATCCCTTAGAATGAGGACAGAAGCGAGCCCAGGATAGCATCTGCGGGAACACCCAGCACTTACTTTGGGTGGGAGAAGGGTCCAGAAAAGAGATCGGACAAGGAGCAACCGAAGAGGAAAGGGGGAAACCCAGAGCGAAGCGTGGCTTCAAAGACACCCTAACGGGCCGGGCGCGGTGGCTCACGCCTGAAATCCCAGCACTTTGGAAGCCGGAGGCGGGCGAATCTTGATCAAGAGATCAAGATCATCCTGGCCAACATGTTGAAACTCCGTCAATACTAAAAATACAAAAATTAGCTGGGCATGCTGGCGCACTCCTGTAGTCCCAGCTACACGGGAGGCTGAGGCAGGAGAATCACTTGAACCCGGGAGGCGGAGGTTGCAGTGAGCCAAGATCACACCACTGCACTCTAGCCTGGCAAGAGTCCATCTCAAAAAAAAAAAAAAAAAAAAAAAAAATTGTAGTCATGATTGTCACATGTGATTCAGACTAGGACGAGAATAGTGGCAGTTGAGCTGGATAGAGGAAGTGGGTCTGACGATACAGTCAAAGAAAATTGTAGCTTTTGGGTCTCTCTGAGTTGGGGACTGGGAGATGAGGTCACTTGGGGGCTCACTGAGTTTCGGGTGCTTAGGGAAACCCTCAAGTGGCCATTTCCAGGCCTGAACTAGCTGAGGAGAGAGGTTTTTGCTGGAGCTTCACTGTATCCCAGGAGAATCCAGCAAACTTAAAAAGGAAAGCATGTCTATTATGTTTCTGTTACTTTTGGTACATAGTTTCAAGGCAAAGACTTCCTCTGGAATGTGGAATGCAATCTTGCCTCTACCAGGACTCTGTTGCTGAGCTGCTTCCATCCTTAGGGGAGAAACCCACCTGTGACTGCTTTTATTCTTCCCTCCGTTGCCAGGGGTCCCTGGAGCGATGGCCCTTGAGGCTTCCTGAAGCACCTGCTATGGGCCAGGCACCCAGACTCTGCCCCCGAAGTTGACAGTCTAGTCTAGAGGACATGCAGGACAGCAGGTCATGATACAGGGTCATGCATGTTCCAAAGGTTGAGACATGGGACTGGGAGGGATGTAAGGAGATGGGCACCCATGAAGCTGCTCCCACCAGGAGGTGATATCTAAACTGAACCAATCACCAAATGTTGATAGCACCAATGAGCACCTTCTGTCTGGGGACTTCATCTTTAGGGTAAAAGCATTTCTTCATTGAAATCCTGGCTGGGCGTGGTGGCTTATGCCTGTAATCCCAACACTTTGGGAGGCCGAGACAGGCAGATAACCTGAGGTTAAGAGTTCAAGACCAGCCGGGCAAATGTGGCAAAACCCCATCTCTACTAAAAATACAAAAATTAGCTGGGCGTGGTGGCGGGCGCCTGTAGTCCCAGCTACTCAGGAGGCTGAGACAGGACAATTGCTTGAACCTGGGAGGTGGAGGTTGCAGTGAACCGAGATCATGCCATTGCACTCCAGCCTGGGCAACAAGAGCAAAACTCCGTCTCAAAAAAGAAAAAAAAGAAGAAGAAGAAAGAAAAAAAGAAATCCCTTCAGGCCCTCATCTCCCTGTGGCTTTTAAAATTGTTTTAATATACTATTGGACACATACCAAAATATGTGGAACATACATGTTACATATACATGTGTAAGGTATATTACACATATCTTACCTCTACATACAGTATAAAAATAAAAGGAACGGCCGGGCGCGGTGGCTCACGCCTGTAATCCCAGCACTTTGGGAGGCCGAAGCGGGCGGATCACGCGGTCAGGAGATCGAGACCATCCTGGCTAACATGGTGAAACCCCGTCTCTACTAAAAATACAAAAAAATTAGCCGGGCGTGGTGGCAGGCGCCTGTAGTCCCAACTATCCAGGAGGCTGAGGCAGGAGAATGGCGTGAACCTGGGAGGCAGAGCTTGCAGTGAGCCAAGATCGCGCCACTGCACTCCAACCTGGGCGACAGAGCGAGACTCTGCCTCAAAAAAAAAAAAAGAAAAAAAAAAAGAAATAAATAAAAGGAACGGCTGGGCTTGGAGGCTCATGCCTGTAATCCCAGCACTTTGGGAGGCTGAGGCAGGCAGATCACCTGAGGTTGGGAGTTCCACACCAGCCTGACCAACATGGGGAAACCCCGTCTCTCCTAAAATACAAAAATTAGCCGGGCACGGTGGCACATGCCTGTAATCCCAGCCACTTGGGAGGCTGAGGCAGGAGAATCGCTTGAACCTGGAAGGCAGGGGTTGCAGTGAGCCAAGATCATGCCATTGCACTCCAGCCTGGGCAACGAGAGCGAAACTCTGTCTCAGCTGGGCATGGTGGCTCACGCCTGTAATCCCAGCACTTTGGGAGGCCAAGGCGGGTGGATCACGAGGTCAGGCGATTGAGACCAGCCTGGCCAACATGGTGAAACCCCGTCTCTACTAAAAATACAAAAAATTAGCCGGGCATGTGGCGGGCGCCTGTGATCCCAGCTACTTGGGAGGCTGAGGCAGGAGAATTGCTTGAACCCAGGAGGCGGAGGTTGCAGTGAACCGAGATCGCACCACTGCACTCCACCCTGGGCGACAAAGCAAGACTCCGTCTCAAAAAATAAATAAAAGGAACCTCAGACCACTGCCCCCGCCCCTGGACTTCATAGTCAGTGAAGAGCACTGCCAGTTCCTTAGCAGGAACCTGGGTCCCCCAAACCCCATTTTCCTATGTCCCCTGAGAAACAACTGTTATCCTGCATTGG